TATTTGTAATTAGATTATGCCTAAACTTATGTTTATTTTAATTATTAAATTTATGATATATATGATATATATATATATATAGATAGATATATATATATATATTAATTATGAACTATTAATTCATATATAATATATATATATATATATATTAATATATATAAATATATATATATATATATATTATGTGTCTAATACGTGATACTTTAGACAAACATTTTCATGTTTTGCAATTCCACCAACTCAGGTAAAATATTCGTTTAGCATAATATGAATAATCAAATTAATGTCATTTACATTTAAGGTTACCATCGAGCGTGCTTTTTCGTCACTAAAATTGATATTATCTGATCAACGGAATCGTCTTAATCATGAAACTTTAGAAAACATTCTCATGGTTAAACTAAATCCGCAATTTTTGGACCATGCTATTGATGATATGTCAAAATATGGTTGCTTTTGCTAATTTTCAGCAAGCAATTCAAACCCTGGTTTTTTTTTAGAAATCATTTATTAACGAAATTTCATTCTATTAAAACTATTTGGATATTTTTGATCACATTATTTTATTTAGTATGTGTTCAGTTTTATTTTATTTTTTATATATTTATATTACTTTTATTTTTATGTTACTTTTTATTTGTGTTCTGTGTTTTATATTTATTTATTTATTTTTTTTTTTTGTGCAAGACACAATAAAGCGATCAAAGTCAAGGTATATGAAGACAACAAAAACCTGAGCTTGAGTCCAGCTGTTAGTTTAATTAACCTTTGCATTTTTCAACAAACAAGTCATGCCGAAACTCAACACACCAACAAGAAGTGAGTGTGTATATGTGTGTGTGTATGTTGACAATCTTCAGACAGATTTGCTGAAAATTGCGTTGTTGTTGTTGTTGGCTTTGCTTGAAGCATGAGAAAATTATAAATTCTGAAGGACACAAAGATTTACTTTCTAACCAAATATTTAATTAAATATTTTCTAAAATAAAAACTTTTAAAAATTGTTTTAAGTTTAAAATAAAAATAAAATAACAAAATCATGCACATACATACATACATAGTTTTTGCTTGTGCGGTGGTAACCTGGCCAGCATCTCAGCAAAAAGAACAAATGAACGGCAAAAAAAAAATAAAAAGTAAAACCTGGTAATAATATTGTCAACATATTTTGTATTTTCTTTTTTACTTTATTTGGTTATTTGTTTTGTTGTTGTTTTTTTTTTATTTTTTGTTAAAAACAAAAAAAAACATTTCTGTCAATTTGAACATAATTATAGCTGAATTTTATATGAGAATTATTGCTTTGGTAAACCATGATTATGACGTTAATAACAATGTGAAAGATGTTGGTTTTGTCAAAGCTTTTTTATATTATATTTGTTGTTATTCCTTTTGTTGCGAACTTTTGCACATCAACACTTGATGTGTGTTGATAGTTGTTGCTTTTGGCTGGCTAACTTGATTTGGCTTGGTAAATATCAAATGTTGTAATTATGCACTGCACTTGATACCTGCCTATCTTGTGGGAAAGGAAGAAAAAACTAATTTCAGCATAGACAAAAACCAAAAAAAGCTAAGCAATATTATTAAAAATAGACAAGCAACAACAACAATGATAAGCAATGAAAGGAAAAACAATAAAAAAAAGCAGTCTTATGTTATTTAATCTGCTGTCGTCGAAGTTGGGCTAGCAAGGAACAAAGGGCATTGATGTAGCGGCATAAGCAAAAGCGTTTTGGTTTTTTTTTGTTGTGCTTTTTTTTTTCTGTTTTTGTTTTTGTTTTTTTTGTATGTTTCACAGCTCATTTAAGATTTAAGCCATTTTGGCATATTTTGTACTTTGTTGCTGTTTTGTTGCACTGTGTTGCTTTGCTCTACAATGTGCTACGCTGCGCTGCTCTGCGTTGCGATGCGATGCGATGCGTTACGTTACGTTGACCAAAGATGCGCTGTTGTTGTGTGGTAGGTATGTGAATTGTTGTTCTTGTTGTTCATTGATATCGTATAGCGCGTTGCTTGCAAATGGCCGTGGGAATATTGTGTGCACATTAACAAGACCATAAACATGCGATTATGTCGTTGTTGCGCGCAAAGCTTAGTATAGTGTTAACGTGTCCAGCGTCTCTAAGGTGGGCAGCATGGCAGTATAGCAGCATTTGCTTAGCTGTGCGTTACCGTGTCTTCTTTTGTTCTCTGTCCCATGTCTCAATGTTCGCTTGCGCCCTTTAACGCGCCTCTTACTTACTACGTATCCAGCATGCTGTGTTGCACTACGTCACACGTAGTTGCAGTGATTCCAAATCAAAGAAACAAAAACAAAGATCTTTATTTACAAACGATGCTCTATAGGATTCCTTGCAATTCTTCGTCTTGTTGTTGTTATTATAATTTTATTGTTGTTTTTGTTATTGTGATTGTTGTTGTATTATTTGGTGATTTGGCGATGGTGTCATGATTTGCTGCGTTTGCCGTTGCTGAGATTTCAATATAATTTTCTTCGTGTTGTGTCTCGTTGTGTACGTGAATTATGGGAATATTTTGTTTCAACCTGAACTCATATTGGCCAAATATGTAAACGTAGCAAATAAACTTAACATTAAAAACCCTATGCTATTGTTTTTTTCTTCTTTTTTCACTTTGTTCTTTTGTGATTTTTTTCTTTTATATTCATCTTTAATATTTTCTTTTCTTTTCTTTTTATAGAATTTTTCTGAGAAAAAATTGTAGCACATCAAAAAAAAAAACAAAAAAAGCATGAAATGAGAAGCTCACCTTTTTACATTGAAGCTTGACTTTTTGACCGGGTCAAATTTATTTTGCACAAAATATTGTGGGAACTTTTCATTGAATGTTTCCATTTTTTTGTGTTTTTTTTTATTCCCTTTATTTTTACTGTTGATTTACTTTTAATTGTTTTGAGTTTCGAAATTCATAGTTACGATAATGCAGCAACTACAGCAAAAGAATAGCAATAACTTTATTATTAAATTTTAATTGAACATTAAACATTTTATCATATCACTCAATAGATCGGAGACAGCACCAGTGTTGTAAAAATAATGTTAATAACATCAATATCACTCATAACTTAACATAACTATGTTAAACTTTTGTTGGATTTTAAAAATTGGCTTACATTTAAATACATATTAATTTGTTTTTTTTTTTTGCCGGGCTTTAAGTCGTTTTTTCTTATTTATATTACTTTATGTAATATGAAAAAACATTATTTTGATTTGTTAATTTTAAATAAAAATTGTAGTTTACTTAAATATAACAGAAATACTTCGGTTTAAATTGACTTATATTTAAATACAAATTAATTTGTTTTTTTTTTTTTTTCCGTGTTTTAGGTCATTTTTTTATTTATATTATACTGTATATAATATAAAAAATATATAAATAAAAACACTGATTCGATTTGTTAATTTCAAATAAAAATTGTAGTTTAGAACAGATATATCTCAGTCTATTTCATATACCATCTTCAGTGCTAGTACTGTTATTTATATAATTTTTATATTATTTAAAGTAACATGAAACAAAAAAAAAAACAAGCTAGAGCCCGGAAAAAAAAGAAACAAATTTTACATTTTATTTACAAATTTAACCTACTAAAAGAGCCTCTTATAAATAAAGGAGATGTCCACCACTGCTCTGAAAGCAGTACATGAAACTTTATACCAGTAATTAAAGGAGAGAATTGAGATAATGCTTAGAAGTCTGAACCAGAAAGCATGGGCGCAGTATAGTGGGAAATTTATGTGTGGTATATGTTATTTGTAGACTGTGTAATTAGAGTCACAAAAGCCATCATCACAGAGCGGGATTATGAAGGCATCTGAATGTGTCTCATCGAAGTATAAGGTGAAGTATTGGCGGGGACTTGTGGCGCATTGCTAGCAAGAAGTCAGAGATAAAGGTGCTAGTGGTTGAAACGTCGGAGGTGTTCTATACTTTTGAATATCTCTCATTGAAGTTTATCGTTAGGTATTGGGAAGCCTTGTTTGACATGATTAACAAAAGTCAGAATTGCTAAGAATTAAAATTCGGGAGTGTATTAAGCAGCAGGGCGCGGTACCGCCGGTGTAAGCTATATAGCTATATTTTTTTACAAATGAACCTAGAAATCTATGGCATTTATAGCTAAGCACAGCTCATTCTCTTTGTAATTGCTGCATTTTATTTTCTCAAAATTTTTGTCTTCTTAAATTTGGAGTTTTGATGCTCTTGCCTGAAATCACTCTATTAAAAATGTATACAGTCAAACTTCCATAACTCAAACTTCTATAACTCGAATTTTCTATAACTTAAACTAAATAGAGTGCAACAGGGTCTAGAGAACAAATTAGATATAATTCTTCAACTCGAAGTTTACATAAGTCGAACAATTTCTTTGCAAAATGGTACTTCGAGTTATGGAAGTTTGACTGTATTTATTTAAGTTTTTAAAGGTAGTTAAAGCGTTGACGTTGAATTTAATATCAAGGTTTCATATAACTTATATTAGATCAATTTAACTAATATACTTATATTTTATCTTATACTGTATTCACACGACAGTTTGTTTTTAATATTAGCTATTATTGTGATTAATTCTTGATTTCGATGGCAAATCAATTTGAAATCAAAAATATTGGTATTGAAATATTGTCATCTGATATTAAAATTGAATTCTGCAATGAACAATATTAAGTAGATATCAACTTGAACAATGCACAGTATTAGTGTTATGGTATAATTACTGACTAATATTATTTTATGTAGAATTCTTTGGAATTCTAATGAATTAAAAAAAAAGTGACTCCGTGAGAGCTGAATTTTTTTGTAACTCTGAAATGTATAGTGTTATATATATTATATCTGCACAGAAGATCCTTTAGGTCGCACTGCATGTACAGCCTATCCATAATAATAATAATATGTATTATATTTAATATATTATTTAATTGATATATATTCGCATGTTAGTAATAGTTATATTTTTTTTTTAATTTCAGTGTTACTGTCCCGGGCTATCAAGGCAATTTACAGGCTGCGATTTCGCATAGCGCCTCCTTGGCTGCTTGGGAGCGTTTCGGTGTTGAGTTTATATTGACTTTTGTCGTTGTGTTGACGTACTTTGTCTCGACGGACGCATTCAAGAAGTTCATGGGCAATTCAGCAATTTCTATTGGTGCAGCATACAGCGCTTGCAGTTTTGTGTCGGTAAGTTCCACAAAGTCAAAAAAACCAACAATTTTTAAATAAATTTATTGGACATTTTTAATTACATGGAAATCCTTGAATGTACAAAAAAAAAATAATTAACAGTAAATCTAAAACTGTTTAAAATCTTTAAATTTGAGTATATAAAAAGTGAAAAAAAAATACATGCAGAGAGGAAAAAAAAATTTTAAGGGAAAAGATTGCATGGTGTGCCTGCAGCAGGTAGCAGGTAGCACCACGCGCGCACAGCTAAATTAAAGTGCAGGTTTCAGGTGCCTCCGCACAGCTAACTGTGTTGCACCTGCCTTTTTGGAATGTACATGATTTTTCAAAAATTAAATCCAAACGGATCTGTCGCTAAGGATTTACACATACTTATACTTACAGTTACAAAAGAGCATATGCATTCGAATTTTTTCTACGGAAAAAAAAACGAAGCAAGAATTAGTACATGGCAAGTGGACGCAGATTTATGGTGCTGCTGTTATTGTCGCCACTGATATTGACATCCAACACGACGACTACAACAACAGCGTAAGCATCCTTAGTCTTCAACTTCAACTTTGTTAATTTTGCAGTACGTTTTTTTACTTGAGTTGACTTCAAAGGCGGAAGCAAATGCAAACACATTCAGGCACCTCGATTGCCTACTCCATAAAACAGTTGCATCTCATCGTTATTAACCTATCCTGCGAAATGATAGGCATTTCGTTTACTACCGTCTGCTGTGCCTCTTCACGTTGTTTTCATCAGAAATCAACTTAATACTTTTTTTCTTTCTCAGCTTTTATATCATTATTGCTTAAGCTTTAATTATTAAAAAAAAATTCTTCAACGTCGCTCAATATATATAAAAATATAGAGTTAATGTCATTTTGAAGTGGCTCTAGACTATTCAACATCATCTGATATAAGATAGGTCAGACATTGCTTGTGTCGCCAATAACTTTGTGTGTGGCTTTTTTTTAGAACACATTTCGTTAAAATGGTGTAGATTTTAAATTCATTTCATTTCTTTTATTTAAAATTATTTGCCACATTTTTGACGTTCCTTGTACTGCCATAGTTGGAGACTCCAAACTTATTCCCATAATATTGTGTTAATGCCGCACGCCTAAAAGGTTTCCCTACTTCACAGATTATGAAGCTCTAATAAATTGAACTGTACAATATTGATGAATGGTTTTGGATTATACATACCTATACCTGTACTAGATATGGTTAAGTTGATTTAGTTGACGTTAAGGTAAAAATGATAAAACAACCCTTGTCTATATCATTGTTCTACCTCACCACTTACTACCTCTACTTTGAATAGAACTAAATGAACACCACAATCATATACTGTTACTTCATGACTTTCGTAGCGCGGTACTCAATAGCTATACAGTCGTCTAATTGCGGCTAACCTTTCAATAGCTTTCCTCCTCCTTAGAATGTCCGATAATACATACGATAATATAATTAACAAAAAAAATTAAAGCCAGCTACTACTTGCAACAAGGTCTTCAATTCCATATATATATACATATATTTATATATTAAATCTAATCATTTCGTCTTAAAATATATTACTATCATTTGCATTGATTTTTATTTTTTTAGATGCCGTACTTAAATCCTGCTCGTTCTTTGGGACCTTCATTTGTGCTCAATAAATGGGATCACCATTGGGTGTATTGGTTTGGCCCACTTGTTGGTGGTATTGCTTCCGGCATAATATATGAATACATTTTCAATTCTCGTAGTAATGGTCGCAAAACAAGTGTTGACAATGATTCCTCATCCATACATTCTGAAGATGATCTTAACTATGATTTGGACATGGAGAAACCTAACATGCATAACAAATATCAAGGTAGCTATCCTCGTGGTCAACCTAAAGGCAATACACCACAAGCAGGTACTACAAATACTTTACCGGGCAGCGGCAACTATTGTCAAAATCTTTATACTGCACCACCACCATTATCGAAATTTGATCAAAATGAACCATTATACGGCGGTACACGTTCTATGTACTGTCGCTCACCAACTCTCACTCGCACAAATCTAAATCGTTCACAATCTGTCTATGCCAAGAGCAATACAGCTATCAATCGAGAAATTGTTCCACGCCCAGGGCCTTTAGTACCAGCACAAAGCTTATATCCAATGCGTGTAACACAAAATCAAGCAGCACAATCATCACATCTACAAAATCAAAATGTTCAAAATCAATTACAACAACGTTCTGAAAGTATTTACGGCATACGTGGCTCGATCCGACAAAATCAACAAAATCAGCAACAGCAAGCACAACATCCGCTACAACAACAACAACAAGCACATCAAACACAAATGCAACATGCAACCCAAACTCAACAACATCACATGTCACCACATCCACAACAAACTCAACAACAAACACAAACTGCACAAGATGGTCAACAGGGTTTTCAACCAATTTATGGTACACGTCATAATCCCACACCACTAGATGGTAATCTTAAATTTGAACGTCGTCCAGAATCAGTTTATGGCATGACCGTACCACGTCATCGCGGTCAATCTGCACAATCAGATGATAGTTCCTATGGTTCATATCACGGTTCAGCTGTAACACCACCTGCACGCAACGCCAATGGAGAACCAATATTAATGTATGCTCCACCACCACAACCGAGTCATACACAAGTATTGGCCAATCAAGCCATCCGTACACAATCTGAGCGTAAAGTAACCGCACCGGTAGTTGCGTCTCAAACACCTACAGTTGGCTCTTGTGCAGTTACCTATGCGACCAGTCAAGGTACTCCCACACAACAGGGTCAACAACAAACACAACCACAACAACAACAACATATTATGGTACAGCAACAACAGCAGCAGCAGCAACAGCAACAACAACAGCAGCAATCACACCAACATTATGCCATGTTGCCAATGCGACCAAACTGAAAAAGACTCTCTTGGGGTCCCAACACCACAACCACAACAACTTGATTTCAAAAATGTGTAAGATATAGTACAGAAAATTTATAAGTCAGGACACATGATGTAAGTAATGAGAACAGTGAGACTTACAAAAAAGAGAAGATGAAGAGAGATAGAGAGAAATATCAGTATAAATAAAGAAAAATATAATTAAATTAATTTAATATATATATACATATATATATATATATATATATATATATATATAAAATATAAATATAAATATATAACTTAATATTTATATAATAAATATATATATATAATATAAATGTATATAATATATATATATATAATATATATAGTTTCTACATAACTTAAATAGTTATGTATATATATATTGTATATGTTAAATAAATGTTTACAAACACATTTTTAATTGTATATGTAAATATACAATAAAATGTGTTAATGAACCATATATGATATATAAGTGTATATGTTATAATAGAACTAATCAATTATTACCTAATTGTATAAAATTAATTTTGTAAATAAACACACATAAATTTGTACATAAATATTTAATGTATGAATTATATATTTATATGATTATAATATAATTATGTTATATATAGAAAATTCATACATAAACTATTATTGTTTGCACACAACTATCTACTTAACATTTTTCTTACTTTCTCTCTCTCACATACTCTGTTACTTTCAGGTTCTCATTTTCTTGTATCCTTCTAACTTTTAAGACTACTTAAATATAAATATTATTAAGTAATATATATATATAATCGATGTCAAAAATATATGCTTAGGATATTGTTCCTTTAGAAATTTATGTCAATATAGATTTAAAGATATATTATTCTCATAAAGTTAGATTGGCTTTATAGCCTCTAAACATTATTACATATAGCATTGTCATCCAAAGGAATTCTCTTTGTGTAGTTTTAGATTTACATAAACAAACATATATATATTTTATAAGAAAAAAAACAATTTTTGAACATATAAATATATACATTTCCTATATGGGTTTCATAAAGTTGAACCAATTAATAAAATTTGGTCTTTTATAGATATAAGGATTTACTTAAAAAAATATGATGATATAGAAAGAGAGTAAGGCTTATGGAAAATTTGAAAGAAAATAATTTTTTGAAGTTAATTTAAGCTAAAAAATGTCAATAGTATATATACATATTTTAAGAATTTACATATTAAATAAACAATAGTAAACTTTAAGTGTATATATAAAATAAATCCAATTGCATCTGTCAGATTTTCACAAACAAAAAAAAAACAATAACTTAGTACCTTTAAATTAATAATAACTTTGAAGTTTTATATATTGTGTGTGTGAGGAACCTGATACTGTATACATAAGATGGAAATCTATTAATTAATAAAATCAATTAATTAGTAATTATATATCTAAAAACCATTTTTCTAAATCTCTACATAAACCAAATGTTTTCCAAATAAAAAAACACTAACGTATTGAAGACCTGAAGTCTGAATTAGTATGTTGGAAGGATGGATATATAAAAACTCTCCAAAAGGTGAAAAACAATTTATACGATAATTATTTATAGTAGTTAAAGTGTATATATATATACATATACATATATATATATTATGTCAGCTTCAGTTAAGTTCTCTATAAAGTTTAATGCCCTAACGTAAAAGTCTTCATTAATCCGAAGGAACTATGAATCAGTGCCAATTATTGAGAACTAAAATCGCAGTTAAGTAAAGAACACTTTTTTTAATAGTTCCAAAAAATTAAAAAGCATATAATTGTACTGACTTAAAATTAAATAAATAAATTGATGTAGATATTTTTGTTAATATTTGATGTGATTCAATATATTAAGATCCTAAATTTGATAAGAATTGTCAAATAGCAAAAAAAAAAATTTTACAAATCTGATATAATCTCTATGACACATTGTCAGTATGTTGATGTTGATTTGATACTTATATTTTATTATAATAAGTAACAGTGTATATGTATCGTTCAGTGTATATGGGAACTACGTATTATATATTTTGATATCTTTAACAGCCAAATTAATATTCACAGCTCATTATCAGAAACCTTAAAGAAAAGTATCATTTCTATAGAATAAGGTATATTACTTACTTACTTACTGCTGTCCTTCTCTCCTAAGTGGAGCATATACCTTATTTCAGAATAAGGTATATGATCTTTAACATATATGTACGGAAAATACATATTAAACGGTGAGAGAGTTTACGCTTTAGAACCCTACTTCTGGCCTAGAGTTAAGCTAGACTATTACAAAGTATGTAATTAAATGTCTTATCATACTTTAGCCAGATATCTCACCTTAGATAGATCAATCGTATTCAAACACATAAATATTGTATATATACATTATTATTGTTAGAGACCAGAATACATTGCGACCAAAATAGATCTATTATGCATTACATTTAGAGAGAAACAATAAGTTTTATTCTGGTTTGCTCTTCATTATTGAAAGTTTTCGTTAATAGTATAATGATATGAACGTAATGTTATGCTTCAATCTGTATCATATCAGAAATTTGTCTATTAGGATTGGTTCTCTTGTTAGTTGAAGATATGTGTTGCTTATAGCTTGAACGTTTGTTTCATAAAGATCAATATATGCTAGTTATATACTCGTGAATTGGTTAATCTTTTTTTAAATTTTTTTATATTGAAATAAAAAAGATCTTTTAAATATAATATTAGTCTTACAAATTATAGTGATCTAGTCTATATATGTTGGAGTCGAAGGTAAAGAGTTATGACTTCGGCAGTTCCACAATATGGAAAACTAAATTGTAAAAATTGTAAAAAAGTCGGTATATCATTTTTATGAAAATAAAATAGGAAACATCAAAGCACTGAAATGGATAAAGTATAAAAAGACTAGCAAAGAATACGATATAAAATATTAATGATTATATATAATTATATATAATTATATTGTGAATGTATATAGATATAATATAAATCAAAATTAAATAATATTGATTTATACGGATAGAAAAGAGTAGATCAGTGAAATAGTTTTCTAAAAGATAATCTTAATTATATTATGATATAAATATTAGTGTATTAAAGATAACAAGTATGACAAGTTTATAATAAAGATCTTCAATTTCAGGTTATTCTGATAAGTAGGAGTTCTATAGAATAATCAGACTAATCTACTAGGAGTTAGTTACTAATACATTATAGATTCAAAAGACAAAAAGTGGGAATAAAATCTTTTGTTTTCGGGTTTTCAGGTCAGGTGTAAAAGGATGACGTCTGCTCTGACTAGACTTTGGTATGGATAGCAAATGCGTACGAATATTATGTGTTCGTGATAAATGAGAGTGAGTTCAAATAGCATGCCAAAGTCTAGCCAGTAAAGATGCAAGGATAGTTGTTAGTATATATATCAAAGCTCCAAAAAGAAATAAGTGTGAATATAGTTTTTTGTTTTGAGGTAATGAGGTCTTCAAAAACCGATTACAACTGCTTAGATATTGTTACTAATGTAATATTATATCGAGCAAGTATAGTGGCGTATCTAGGATATGTAGTAAAAATCAGAATCAATGATGTTTAGAGAATACCTTTAAAGAAAATTATTAGTGTACTAAGGTTTAGATAAAAAATAAGCAGGATTTTTTAGTTTATTTAGAGAGATGAGTAGAGGAAATGAAAGCAGTGCGAAAGTCAAAATTAATTAACGTAAGCAGTGTATAGATGTAGGTGACTTATAATACCATATATACCACCGATTTCTAAGCTACAAATGTTTCAAGACGATCATAAATATAAAACACATAAAAATCTTAGTCGACTTTAATTCTACATTAAATGTTTATATCTACTAACATACAGCTGTCTACTTAAATAAAAATCAAAAGATATAGGGACACTTTGATGATTCTTGAACTCTTAAAGTCAAAATAAGGAATTAGAAGTTTACAGCTCTAAAACCACTGAAAGTAAATGACAGAGTGGGCTGAGACTAACACAACAACTAGAAATACAAATAGAAAATCTGTAAAAGTTTTAGAATTTTTACTAGTAGTTAGCTAACATATAAATGTAAATAGATTCCTAAATTCAAAAAATTGGAGATGCAAAAATATCTTAAACTTTAAAGTAACGATACATTAACAACAACAGAATATACATTCGTAAGCCTTCATATATGTTAAAAGTATTAAAATGGAGAGTTCCTTTGACAAATGCTACAATCTAAAATAGTAGGGGAAGAAATTCTTTTCCCTATTGATGTGCTAAAGACTTACATTTTTTGACAAAGAGCGAGATGTCAAGTGCAACTTAAATAACTTTTAATGCCATTCAAATTGAGATATGAAGAAAAAAGAGGAAAGGAGATAGTTGTATTGTATTGTTGTATCAAATGGATTTTTCGGTTTAATAAGCATTTTTTATTATCTTAAAATAAATTAAATAAAAAAAATTTATGTATAAAAAAAGAATAAATTAAAATACATACATATATAATAGTAATAAGTAATATTAAAAAATTAAAAGAAATATGTAATTTTGTAATTGTATAGATGTTTAATATTTAATATTTATATTACATGCTTTTCATATATGTACTAATATATTAAGTAATATACTATATATGATAAGTAATATACAATTATTGAATGTACATTTATTCAATATTAATATTTGTGCAAAATATAGAAGAGTATCTAAATAAGACTAATTGTGACTATATAAATATATGATAAATGTTATATATGTTCTACAATGCAAACAAACGTATAATAAAAATTTTACAAAATAAATATATAGTAATGCATTACTAATTCTTATTAATTATATATATTAATAAAAAATATATGTAATTTACATATATAATATTTAAAAAAGTTACCTATATAATATATTAAATGCATATGCATTTGTTTAGACACTCATTAACATATTCAGCTTTATTTATGTTTATTTTTCAATTAAAAATTAATTTTTTTTTTTTGTTAATCAAAAATTAATTTTTTTTAATTAAAAATTAATTTTAAAATGTAAATTCAAATGCACAAAACTGCACAACTGCATATAGTAATAAAATTTTAAATTTATCTGAACATATATACATATAATATAATAAACACAATATATAAAGGAAC